TGAACCAGAAGGAGGTGGGGCACCAGCTTTCTGCCACTCTGTAGCTTCGGCAGCCATTCTCCGCACATAGGCATCATCCACACACATCAAGATATTTTCAGGTTTTATATCTGTATGGATGATCTTGCACTTGCTGTGTAAATAATCTAAACCCTGAAGGACCTGGATACAAGAAAATCAGTTGAAAAATAATTTCAGTCTGACCAAGATAAATGCATGCATTGTCTTACTATTCAAAGAATAATTATTCCAATTCAAATGCAGTAATATTTGAAAACTTGAATTCAGTGTAATATACAAGTATTTTATATGTTTATATTCTGAATGTATAATAAGTCAGTGACATAAATCTGCATAAATGCTGGTGTAAAATAGGTAACAAGGAAAAATAACACCTTCATAATATTAATCTGCACTTTTACAACACTGTCCATCAGAAGATCTTAAAACACTTTACAGTCACAAATGAATTAGGCCTCACAACACCATTAAAGACAAGTGAATTGAATTATCTGATGCTGCTTAAAGAAGCCTGCAGCAGTGCAGAAAATAGAATTCCTGTGCTTTATCCACAAGAGCATAGTGCCCCTTCTAAATATTTTATCAAGACATTACACAACACATTCTTAATCCAAATCTTCTCAGAATCATTCAAGATATGATTAATTTTAAAAGCTAAATGTACGGATCCTAAAAACCAAATACTGGATTCATTAATCAAGATTTTTGCATGTTAAGTATGGTCCACTAATTCAAAACTTGTTTGATTATTTGAAAAACCATGTGAAAAAGCACAGATTTTTCTCTTAAAGGATAGAAACCCCAGTTTATTCTCAAAGATACACAATGACAAGCAGTACAAGTTGTTGGTTTTTTAAAAAACACAAAGTAATATCCACATGAAGAAAGTGCTCATGATTAGAGCTTTTTAAGAAATGATATACACGTACTGAAATAATTGTTGAGATTTCAAAAAACCTCTTCTGCTCTGCACTGGAACAAAGCTGAGAAACTTCAAAATTTTTCACAAAAAACAGGAGAGAGATTCTTCACCCAGAACTTGCTCAGGCACTCACCTAGGAGAGACCCAGATTTGAGTCTCTGCTCCACAGCAGGCAAAGTAGGGACTTGAACCTGTCTATCCCATATTCTAGGTATGCCCTAACAACTTAACTGTAGAGGCAACTATATTTAATTTGTTTCTGTTATCCACTAATCCTGCTAAGATACATTTTTAACAATGAATATGAAAGTCTCAAGAAACAGAAACTATGAACACCATAAAAATGTTATCTTGTTGCATTAGGAAGGTATACATATTATTACAGAGAAAACAGTTCTTGCACATCTGTAAAGAGACCTAAAAGCTTCAATTAAAACAAATGTATTTAACGGGCTTCCTAACATAGTGATCCTTTGTATTATAAAGACATAATTTCACATGATTATTTATTGCTGTATATAAATAACAGTGAGTTTCATGATAGATGACAAAGAATTATACTAATGTTAAAATTTATAGATAATGTTCTTAGCCAGTTTTAAACAGATAACTATAATCTAAAAATAGAAAGTGTGATGCAGCACTAAACCTGTGTGAAAAAAATATCTAATTCTATAATTCTGTAAGGAATTGAGACTGGGAATAACCCTTAGTTTTTACTCACATCATCAAGGGAAAGAATGAAATGGATAAGAAATGCTACATTTTCCCGGATGTCAAAAATGTAGAAAGGAAATATTCTGTTAATATCCCTGTTGATGTAATTTAGGGGGATTCAAACTGTGATATAGTTTCTCACTGGAAAAGGTATTACATATAAAAATTAGACCGCACCACATCAAGAGACTCTGTCACCATCATATGCCCCCTCACTGACAGTTAACATTCCTTCCATCCACAGGACCAGGACTGCAGACCAATATGCCTTGGAGAGTTGATTACTTGCTACATGGTTCATTTAAACCAAAATCAAGAATGTTCACAGAGAGAATACAAGATACTAATTTTGGTTTCTTTCAATTTCAGAATATGCTCCTTGTCAGATAGACTAGTGCTTTAATTTTTACTGCCCAAAGAGAGACTCCTTCCATATTAATAAATCTGCACTTCCAACCATTCCCACTGGAATAACAGGACTTTCCCTGTGGCAACAGACCATTTTTCAGCTTCACAGTATCAGCTCTTATATAACATTTAATAAAAGTTCTGATCTGGGGGAAAAATAGATCAAATGCTGCTCAAAACAAATTAAATTTTGTATTACACAATTCAAACAGCAGTTACTAATTAAAACAAGGCCTGATTTATGCAGCTGGATAAGATTATAACCAAATTTTCAACCAGTGTTCTAAATCAAACTAAGCACTTTGTAAAGTAAAGATTTATAAGGTTACCCTCAAAATGTCTGCATTATAGCAAACAGAGAAAGAATTTATTTTAAATAAAAATGTTTATTGTGCAGCAAAGAATGCAGCAGCTGGAATGTTTCATGACAAAATTAAGCTTTCAGTGTAGTTTTTAACTATGCCAAACCATAGAAAACATGAAAAGCTGTATACCTAAAGAGAGAACCCACCTGGCAGCACTGAGGCTAGTCGTACCACACATACAATTCCACTTACTACCCATTCACCCCAACTCGGCCATATGTAACTCTCTCCCTCCTTCCATAGATGATTATTCACCTACCTTATTTTTAAATGAAGCATGCCTGGATTATGTCAGTTTCTTTGTAGCTTTAAGATGTATATTTTTAGGAGAGGATCATTTTATTTAAATGATTTCTTAATTTAATTTTTAGTAACTTGATTTTGGAAGTATTTTAGCTTTTGACTTTTTTGCTCATACTTCATCATGTTATCGAAGTCTAGGGATTTGCCTTCATCCCTGATAAAATTTGGATTAAACTAGTTTTACAGCTATTTATTACTGAGAAACTGTTCTCAAAAGTTACTTGTATCTACATTACCAGAACCAATTTAATCATCCTTAGATAACATATTAAGGAAATCAAGATTAACAACAATCATGCATAAAAACAGGATGTGTTGATTCATCAATTTATATAAAACTATCACTTTACAAGTCTAATGGGAAATTATCTTAAGAAAAAAACACAACACTGATCTCATCTGGTTGAGATTATAAATAGACATCCTAAAACAAGAACATGTCAGTTAGCTGAAATGGATAGAAAACAATTAGCTGAATTCAACATGTTCCATGCAAAGTGAACAGGCCATCAGTTTTCTGAGTACCTATTGTGAAAAAGATACTGGGAATACATGCTAGAGAAAACTGACCATAATACTAGTTATGCACTGCTAGTTATTCCTGAATTATTTCTATTAATAATAGAGATTAGATACATTTCTGGACTGCAAGCTCCTTTCGAAAGAAGCTTTTTCGGAAGATCTCTTCCAAAAAAACTTCTTTAGAAAAAGAGCATCTATACAGCACAGGTGCATCAAAAAAGCGATCTGCTTTTTCAAAAGAGAGTGTCCACACTGATTGGATGCTCTCTGGCATAAAAGGCCACCCAGAACCTCTTCAGCCAAGGTATTAAGTCAGCAGTTACTTCCAGGTGCTGTTGCCTAAGGCTGTCTGAGACTCATGCTTAAAGGGACCCCCCTGGACAGCCATTTCTCAAGTTCTCCTGCGTGCTTGCCTACCTCCATGAGGAACAGCAAAGCTTTAGCAATGCATGCTCTGGTTGCCCAGCTTTGTTGGATGCCACAGCATGGGTTTTTTGGTATGGAGCCGGAGCTGACCCTGGGCATGCAATGGCCCCACACAGCCATGCTGCAGGTTCTGCAGCAGTTTGAGCAGACTGTCTTGACGATACTGCCCCAGCTCAACTCAGAGCTCAAATGTGCATCCCTCTGTCTGAGTCTGGGAGCAATGCCCTTGGCCCGCGCCTCACGGTTGAGACAATTCTGGAGGATGGACACCAGTTCCAACTGGTGGGACAGGCTGGTGATGGAGCGGTGGGATGACCATCAGTGGCTCAACAACTTACGTATGCGGAAAGCCACCTTTTTAGAGCTGTGTGCCTGGGTTGCCTCTGCCTTTCGGAGACGTGACACCCATCTGTAGCCTGCCATCCTTCTGGAGAAGCAGGTCGCTATTGCCGTCTGGAAGCTCACCACCCCCGACAGCTACCGGTCAGTGGGCCACCAGTTCGGCATGGGGTAGTCCACCAACGGGATCCTCTTCATGGAGGTAAGGCACTCTTGGACTGAAGTCCTTGCGGAAGGTGGAGGGGGAATCCTGGAAAAAGGGGACCCTCGGGAAAGGGGTGTGTGGGGTGGAGTGGGGGTAAGGCCCGTCCTAACAGAGTAGGGTGGGTTGTGCCACCAGCCCTCACACAACCTTGCTGCTGGGTGGGCGGCTTCATAGGGGGTGGCTCCTAGTGTAAGGGAACTGTTAGCCCCTTACTAAAACTGTGGGAGTTTTTGGTTGGCCAGCTCCCAGTATCAAAAGGGGAACGGTCCATGAGACTGACAGACCCCAGAGACAATGGAAAGCAGCCAACACTTCAGCTCGGCCTGATTGACAGGTTGGACAGGCCAGTGAGGAAAATAAGAGGCCAGGCCCCGTCCTCCCTGTGAGCTCGGATTTTTATGGGTCTCTGAGCAAGGAGAGAGCTGAGAGACAGCTAAGAGGAGCAAGCTGTGTGGCGAGGCAGTCCTGCAGCAACAGACCCAGGCACTTACAGCCCAAGGAGTGCAAGCTGTGCTGAGGGGCAGTTTTGCAGCAACAGAGCCAGGCACACACAGTCCAAGGAGTGCAGACCCTGTGTTGAGCAACAGACTGGCAGTGCTCAGAGAGCCAAAAGGGACAGAGAAGCAACGCAAGGAGCTGGAGACTAGTAAAGCAGCACAGCCTGCAGTTGGGTGTGGTGAGCAGCTGGGTGTGGTGAGCAGCTGGGACCAGCAAAGTGCAGGGAGAGGCTCTGGGCAGGGAGATATCACCAGGCAAGAGGCCCAGCAGGCCAGACTGGGAGAGGGTTCTGGCCACTTAGAGCTTGAGGCTGTGTGGTCACTGCCAGAGCAAACGTGTCCAGCCTGCAGCCCCCCTGCAGCACATCCA